AATTGTATATGTTTTTGTATATGGGGTGCAATATTTTCTTACATTTTTATGCAATCATGTTTTTAATGATTAAATGGGTCCTAAAATTTTAGTGCTACTATTTAATTGAATCAAATTGTCTGTGGAGTTTCAATGTATATATGTTTGAAATGGTCCCTTAATTTATTTTTTACATGAAAAACTTTACTTATAATCATTGAAATTTTTCTATATACATATATACATTCTTTTATAGTGGGATTGTATTATTACAGTATAATTACATATCAAGAAGAAGATGACTGATAAAATTTAAATGAAATTATAGATTTAACTCGCAAGATACGGTAACAATTTTTTTAATTAAAAGTTTAACACCTTGTGAATAAAAATTTTGCGTATGATTAATTGTTAGCAGAAACGCAAGGATGTTTCTATGATATAATATGATAAACAAAATGATAAAAATTTATTTCAATTATAATGAAAATAGGCCAAGAAATGCAACTTAACACTACACAATGAAGGTGAATTAAATTTATCAAATAAAATTTATATTAATTATAATTTAAAATATGTATACCACTTGAAAAATAAATCAAAGCGTAATTAAGTTTAAATGATAACAAATAGAGCAAATAGAAATATTTGATATTCTTCCAGTGCGGTTGTCTTATCAAATGTGAGGCGGTATAATTTTAATTATCAAATATTGACCCAAAATTTTCTCTCATTATGAAAATAATTTGCATACAATGTATAAGTTTTTTTCAATAAACATACAATCTTAGTATGTGGGTATTTCTGAATGCCAATGAAAATTCATAATGGGTGATATCGAAAATTTAACATGGCTAAAATCAAACACTGCAAAATTGTTACTAAACATATAATTAAATTTATATAATTGAATTTATGAAATTTTTGTTGTTTTCAATTGTCATTTTTGATTTTCGTAACTGTCAGAATATTTTTTTTTTTCATTTTTTTTTCAGTTTTTTTGGTAAATTGCTCGTATTTTCACAAATATGACAAAATATACCAATTCAAGTATGTAAGAAAATTTTAGATTAGATTAATATTTAACTGATCGAAACTTATTACTGCATTAACTCTCAAAGAAGTGTGCTTAAACAAATGCAATATCACAGTTTTAATTCTACAAATTTTTTATAGAAATGAAATTTACTATTGCACAAACATATTGAGCCTCCTGAAATTCAAACGTGAATTTTATTATTAAAAGCATCGAATTATGTTTTATCATAACAATAACTGGTGAGCATTCAAAGATTATTGAGCATTTTTTGACGGCATTGCAGAAACCTTGTATTTTAAATTTCATTTTATATTGAATTTTTTTTTCTACTTATGATTGAATCCAATATTCCTTGGCATTCAATCAACATTTTTTTACTTTATTTTTTATATCGAGGCTCTATGCATGAAAATGAACTTTTTCATTGAGTATACGTCTTCTATAGGTATATATAAGAGTTCACTTATTTAGTTAATTATTTTCTTATCAAATTGAAAAATAAATTAAAAGTAAGATTAATGCATTAAATGTTATCTATTGCTCTAAAATAAATTTTATTTTGCTTTATCATAAAGTTTTTTTCATAATCTACATTTTCTAAAATACTTTTGTCAACAAAGTAGAATACAAGTGTCTATTTGTAGCTTACAAGAAAAAGTTATGTAACATAGATTATTTAATAAATATTTTTATTTCTTTTTTTTTAATACAAGGTGAACAATGCAATCATTATCACCGGTTTGAACTGAATTTAGGTTTGTCATCTATCACAAAAGTATTCTTATATTTTAGAATCTATATTTAAAGTTCGAATAAAATTTTAGGTGTTGATTTTGCAAAAGTTTTATAAAATTTTGTCTTGAATAGATGTCTTTCTTTTTGAGAGAGTATATGTATATCGCGAAAAAGGCCAGAAACGAACAAATTTTTTGTTCCGCCATGGGCTATAACATCTTAAAGTAACGATTTAGGAGGAATTCATTTTTTCTATAAAATCGTAAATCTTTAATTATTAATAATTTACGAATGGAGTTGGATTGATGATATCTAAAACAAAGTCAACACGAAAGAGTTATTTTCTCATATGTCTGTAACACTTGTCAAGATATATTCGAAAATTTATCGCCCTCTACATATTACTAAATTTTTTTCATCTGTCAAATTGCTAAATTTAATTTCTATTTTCCAGTGCTCGCCAGCGAGCAGAATTACGATGCAATTGTAATTATTATAAGCAAAGCGTGTCACCCGTGTGTCACAATGTATTTTATTGTCCCACTTTCTAGCAGGGAGAGAAATTAAACTACTATTTCTAACGAAAAATAAAATTTTGTATTTTATCGATTTGTTCACTTCAAATTAAAAATCTACTCAAAAATGTTTAAAATTAAAAAAGAAAAATAATCATGTTTTAAATTTTTGCTAATTCGCCAAATTCGCCAAACCTCTTTTGGTGTCATATGAATAAAATTATTTAAACGTAATCACATCTCACCTATTTTGTGTTCTTTTAAATTGTTTACACAAGGTGTGATATACATATGATTTAATATATGATTTGTGTAAATACGGTTACATTTACAACAAAATATAATTGTATATTTTGAACTTTTGATCTTTTAGAATAGGACTTGATCTACATATTACATAAATATATGTATACATATATGTACAGTTCAAAAAGAAAATATAAATCATTCCGAAGGAAACACAATATATTGTGAAAGTTTCTTAAAGGAAAAATATCAATGCATTCAGTTGAAATGGTTATTATTTTTACTATATTTGTGGGTACAGACTAGTTTTTACAAAAATTCTTCATAAACTTTTTAGAGAAAGAGGCCAAACATTTAAAGTTCAAAATAATTGTTATACTTTAAATTTCATAATAGGATTTAAAATACAATAAGAACAAAAAAAATGAACACATGAAAAATACGCGGAACAAGTAATTTGGATTTAAACTATAGGGTAACAAGTTCAAAATGATTTAAGAACGTTTATTGTGAAAAATGAAAATTATAAAGTTTTTTGTTATTCTAAATAATAAATAGAGTCTACTACCGTATTAAGAAAATTAGAAAAAAAAAATTAATATTTAATTTGCTGAATTTTAACAATAGATGTCTCGAGTACATATTAGCAGTTTTTGCTTATAACAAACGGCACCTTTCACTTATAACACACGGATTAATCCAGTTAAACAAAATTTCGAAATAATTAACCATTTTGAACGAAAATATTATTACCATAGTATGTATGGGGATTTCGTTTTTAAGCAGAGAATTCGGTTTAAGCAGTGCAAAGTTAATAATTATCTTTTATTTTCCAGTCTAGATTCTAAAGTTTCAAGTTCAGATTAAGTTGTATGTTTAATTAAATATGTTTTATGAAAATAAATGATCAAAGAATAATAAAATTGTTATATTACAGATCGACTGATAAATTTATTATGCAATCTAAAATTTGTTCTCCTATGCGTATATAAATGTAATGAACATTACATATTATATGTATAAGCAACTACGGAACATTTAGATATAGATTATCATATTCATATACTTAATATAATGTAGGTATATTCAACACAGACAGTATAGTCACTTAAACATATCTATATAGGCAAAGCACATGTATTGATTGTTTTAATTTTTTTTTTATTTACTTACATTGTTTTGTCATTCACATCACGGGTTCAAAAACTCTTATTGTCGTTAACTTGTTTCTAAAAAACAAAAAAAAACAAGAAAGCGAAATGTACATTAAGGCAAATTGATTATAAAGAAAATCGAAATAAAAGCGATAGGGCGAATAGCGAATTTTTTTTTTTAACGAATTTTTCACCATAATTTATTACAATATAAATGGTAACTATTAAATCTAAGCGGCTCTAAAAGAATGATACAGTTTAAAAAGCAAAAATTTTAAAAAACAATAAAAAATGAACAAAAAAAAAATTCTTATGTCTCTTCTATAAACTAATTGCAACATTATATACAATTAAAATTTGGCGTAAATTTATTTTAGATACTATTTAGGGAAATTGTATACTTAAACGTTGATAATGAATCGGAACAGTAGTAATATGAACAAAGTAAAGAAAGATTGTACAGGGTCGTTTAAAGGAATTCTGAAAACTATTTGTACAGATTTTTTTGTATCTCCTTTAATTGACATGATTTGTAAAATTACAGACCATAATTTGTAAACGCCTGAAAGATTAAGATTTACATCTGTTCCATCATAAAACATTATAAGCATATTTAAGACTGCTTAATTGATTCTTAAAATTAACCGTTATCTTAAACTAGTCTCTCGTTTATTTTTGAAATATAATTTGTTCAATCAGAGAAAACTTTCGGCCGCCAATTTCTTTAACATCGTACATAATCTTTATCTTTACAAAAAATAATCCCACTTTTACCTAAAAATATACCGTTATGCTTTAATTAAATTAAATGGCAGTATAGTTCTAGACTTTTTTAATAAAATTTTTCGAAAATTAATACTCTAAGAATAAGATTTCAAAATTAATGCAAAGTTAAAGTCTTAAAAGAATTTAATTAGACCATTTTATATGAAATACAGGATTTAGACTTAAATTTTTCAAGGGGTTCGCTAACCATGGCTTGTGATCGCCTATTATTCCTGATTTTATATTCATAGATTTTTAAATTTTATTCTTGTTTTACGATTTGATAACACAGTTTTGTTTTTCAATTTGATTTATCATTTTTTTTTTTAAGAATTGCAACCCTGTACATAAGGACTACAAAAACAGTTTGTTGTTGATTTTTTTAATTCAACGTTCATTAAAACGCCCAATCTATAATAATTCCATATTAATTAGTGACTAAAATGAAGAAAAAGCAAATTCTTTTATTCTTATATAATTATGTAAAAAAATTAAAATTTTATATGCAATTTTCAATAATTATTTAATAATTTATTAATAATCACTTAATTTTATTCTCTTTTTCAGGTATGTTCTTAAATAATTTTATTAAGATGGCAACATTATACTAATGATATAGTCGTAAGTTTTATATTATAAATTAATTTATTATTTGAAATTCCTTTAAATTTTCTTATAGTGGGAAAATTATGTGTTTAAATCAAATATTATTGTTAGCATATAAGCCTAGATTTTACCCATAAATTGATTCATCCTTGATTACCTCATGACCTATGATGAAGAACGAAAATTATCTTCCATTATTTTTGGTGATAAGCACAATAAAGATACGAAGAAGATTTCCAAGAGAAAAATTTTATGTAATTTTTGAAAACCTTTGTATTTTATAAGCCCATGTATATTCCCAATTAGCTAAATATAGCTTTGTCGTGCAACTTAAATGAACAGATATAGAAATTTAACCCATTTTCATTAAATAAAATACAAAAATTTTATTTGAAATACTCTTGATCTTAAAAATGGTTTGTCAGACAAAATATTTCTGAAAATAATTGCTCGTGGTTGGAGATTGTTTTAGGTTATAAGGCAAAAAATGCTACAACAAGTGACTAAAATGACATTATATTAGCTGTGCATGACAACACAAACCATAAATTGATTCTTAATATGCTACAAAAACTAACCGTAGCCATATATAATCGATAATTAATTAAAATATATTTCTTTTCTGAAATCTCTATAGTTCAGCTATTTAAAATTTCAGAATTAATTTAAATTCAATTGCAGCTCTGCTTAAGTGTTTACTTTCATTTAATAATAATGTGATTTTTTCTTCTTCTTAAATCACATATCACATAAATTATTTCAGATGAATTCGTTTTTGTTTTTATATTGCTACTTGTTTCATTATTCAAAAAAAAAAAAAAAACAGCCAATTTAAATATTACTATAGCAATTTCTTAGTACCTACACATACATTATACATATTTAGTATAATAATATATTTCGTTGATTATATCGAAAAAGCAAAGGTATAAAAGCATAATACGAAATTTACCACAAAATAAAGAATCACTAAAAATAACAATTATAGCAATTTAAAATAATAACAAGAGAGAAGCATTTACGGTAGTAGCAAACCAATAAAAAATACTCTAAGTTTATAGTGTGTACGTAGTAAATATAAAACACTATAAGTCAGTAACAGTATACAACTACTACTATATCTTCTTCATATACTATATGATACCTACTTCACTTGTCTGTAAGTATAATTTTACGTTCATATACAAGTGAACTGGCAAAAAAAAAAGACCTTAACTATTTATAACTTTTGATTATTTTTTGTGTCTTATCGCTTGGAAATACAACATTTTCAGATATTAAATCATGTAGACAACATTTTCCTGTTGCTTGTTACGAAGATTAAAACAAACCAAAGAAAAATTACAAAAACACAAAGTACAAGTAAAAGTAAGAAAATATTAACAAAACAGTATATAGAAGAGAGAGAAAAGTAGAGAGTTAAAAAAAAAGTCATCAAGAAAAACAATAATATAAAAATAAATTTTCATCTGTTATTAATATTCCACCCGTACAGCCTGGGTTTTCTTTTTTTTTTTTAAAGTATGCGATGCATTCAGAGTTTGAATTCACATTGCAGAGAAAAAAAGACGTTCATCATATTCATACCTCTTTTTCTGGATGGTTAAAAACAATTATAACACTGTACATAATTGCATAAATGATAATGAAAACAGCAACAAGACTGCTCTGACATAACACAAATGTAGTGCATTCGTTTTGGTATTTAAATTATAAATCTTAAAATTAATCTTAATATTATTTAAAATTTAATTTGATATTTTGAATAATGGACTATTTGAATCAATTTAATGAATTGTTCACAACAGACTTACAAAACGAATTTTATGCATATAGGCTCAAGAAACGAATTTTCTCTTTTTAGAAATGAAATGAAATGAATTAGGAGAAGATGAGGAGTATTGTAGTGCGATAACTTCAAAGAGAGTATAAATACTACAATATTAGAGAACAACAAAAACATTAATCAAATTTTATAACTTTGAAATGTATATACTAAAATAGGGTATGTTACGAATCCACAAGATTTCTGCAAAATTTACGGATTCTTGTCAAAGTAGTAGAAAATTTAATTTGTATTTGTATAATATTAGCTTTTACATTTGAGTAATTGTAAATGGTAAATAATGCTTCGTGCGCTCCGCCGGAGTACCTTCGCATCTTTTTTTAATGCTCTTCTCAACAAAACTGTTTCCTTTATTACGTTCAAGGCAACAACTAACATTTTGGTTGATTCCAAATGATTTAAAAAAAGTGTTGCTGTTGTATAAAATGTTACTGTTAATATGAGCTTCTAAGTGCACACCCGTTCGATTATTCAATAAGTTCTTTTCAATTTCTATTATGAATATCAAGTTTTATAAATATTTTCTTATGTATTGAAAATAAAGTATACACTTACTTACATACATGTATATTTCATAAATTATAATGAGTATACAAATAAATGTTCGAGATACATTCTTGGTTATAAACTCATCAAACCCGATACTAATTATTAACGACAAGCTCATATCATTATAATTTTATTATGATGAAATTTTAACGAATGTTGACTTATTATGGTGGCTATTATTACACAATACATATATTTTGTATGCCACAATCTATATATATATATATGCTTATTTTTTTTTTTATCCTTTCCGCTGTTTAGATGAATTTTAATTAAATTCTCGTAAATTTTATTGAAATTAAATGGTGTACCTACATATTCATTTGGACATGATGCTCTTGAAATATTCGAAAAAAAAAATTTACATATTATATTTTATTCAGTCATATTATACACAGAAACATTGAACTAAAATTATTAATATTATGGATTTATAGCAGATTGCTTTTAAATAGCCACCCATTTTCAAAACAAAAAAAAAAGATCACATTACATTGTAAAAAGAATTTTGCATTCTTGATAAGCTGGTACACGTTGATCATGACTGAATGTATTGCATATCCATAAGTAATTGAATGTACATACACACGTATATATAGTTAGTTGTAAATTATGTAAATTTTTTCGTTTATTTTAAATTAAACGGTTCATGTTGTATTCAAAGTTCATTCTTTTACATTTTTTTTTTTTGGAAATATTAAATCGATTCAAATACGTATACATACAAACATACATAAATATAATGTAAACGTAATTATATTTAATAATAGCGTATTAAAAATTACTCTAACAACTAAATTTATATTCAGCGAAGTTGTGTGTATAGTTTAAGAGAAAATTTGTCAAAAGTACTTTTTTTGGTTTTAACTTGAAAAGTGGATGAAAGAGACTTCCTTCAGGAAAAATAAAATTATAGTTTTATTGTAGAAATTATTTTTTAAAAAAATTCTTTAAGAAATAAGAAACAAAAAGTATAAAAGTGCTAATTTGTTTATATTTTGGAAATAATATTTTAATTAAAACCCTCCATTTATTTTGATGAAACATCATTATATATAGTGTGTTTTTAACGATTGCCACTTGAAATTCTCGAAAATAACACGAAAAATTAAATATGACTCGAAATTTCTTATTTATTAAAGTATTAAAGTACTTCATTAATATTTAAAAATAATTTTGGGTATATGGTTATTACAGTTAAGCAATTTCTCGACGTCAATGTTCGGTCACTTTTTCGAAGAGAATAAAATTAATCAAAATTGAGTCGATTAAAAAAGCCATTACAATAAAAATTCTAGAATATGAATTTGAGCGTATGATTGCCAAATTTTATACAAGCAGTTATTTTTTCAAACCATTCCATTAAAATTTTCAGGATTACATGTAACCTTATCTTTAACCCGTTATTCGGATTGATCCAATAACAATTATAGTAGCCCGCCTTGTTATCAAACGTATATAATATATAGAAGAAATCGTAAAACTAAACTTACAAAATAAATTTTGAATGTTGGTTTCTTTTAAAATTAAAATATTAATAAAAATTTTATTAAAAATCTTGATAACTTATGTGAACAACAAAAATTTTAAAACATAATGAAAACTTTCCTTCAATCAAAGACATCTGAAGTGTTAATTTATTTAGAAAATTTATGGGTAAAATTTGTAAACTTTGATTTGTAAATAAAAAATAAAATTATATTTGAATAAACAATAAAGTTAGAGAAAAACACTTTACTAAGTGGTTATCCATGTTTACACTAAATTTTTTTAATTTATGTCACACTTTTATACATAAACGCATTTTTAAATACACACAATTGCAATCAATATATTACGATATTGAACTGTAGGCAAATAAAATACTTGTATTTGAAAACGTTGATTAAAATTTTTAAAGTTGCATCTATTATACTTTTAAAAATAGGCATAATATGACGTGTTTGTTCAATTTTGTAATTTAAAACATGAAGAGGTAGAAGAAAAATTTTGGTACTTAAAACCAATGTTGATTTTGAAAACATAAACATTAAATTACATTGTAGTTTTACGAAGAGTAAACGAACATCTCTCAATCCTCAAATAAAATGCACCTATAATATATAAAAATTGCCTCCTAACCAAATACCGCCTGAGATATTTCAAAAGCATTTGGACGTCAATAATGGAAAAAAAAACCGGCCGAACCATTTCTGCGTCCTGAAAGCCAGAGCATTTTTTTGAATTTTAAAACAATGTCGATTTCGGGATTTTGCCAACCAAATTTAAAAACCTATTTACGTTTTTACAATTTATTGTTTTTTTGCCATAATGATTTTTTATGCCTTCGCAAACTGCTAAGAACCAACTGCTAAGAATATTGTTGAATGAATTATGAAAAAAAAAAATAAATTAATTTAAACTAAAATAAGTTATTTTATTATACTTAGTATAACATTAAATTTTTTTAACTGTGTTCTCTTGTTCTTGTGTTAATAATTGTCTTTAAATGCAGTAAACAAAAAAAAAAGAAATCAGCAATCCATTAAAAATAATTAAATAAATTATTATTAATAAAAAACAGCGAGTTTTTTGGAAATTTTTATAAAAAAAAAAACCTGAAAAGTGTTACCTAAAATTATAATTGCAATTTTGAACAAATCAACATATCTACTTACAGATAATAACAAGAACCTCCAACCAAAAATGCAAAAAGACATCACTTCTTTGGTTTTTTGATTTTATTTTCTTATAGCCATCAATGACTGAATTACACCTGTTTTTTTCTAAAATTACAAAACTTTTTAAGTGTGCGGACGTAATTTTCATAAAATTGTTGTACATATATATTTAATTGTAATTACATAATAATATTTATTGAATATAAAATGAACATAAAGTGACGAATAACAAAAATTGATGAATTTGCATTAATATTGAGTGGCTTGTTTGTAATAAAAATTACACTCCAGCGGGTAATTTTGTTTTCTTCCGCAAATTCTATAAATAAAGGTAAAATGTTTTAGTAAAAACTTTGTAATTTCTGTAAAATCTCAATTTTTATACATCTAGTAATCTATTTTTCTGTATCAAACTGTGATCCTATTCCCGAAACTTAT